TTCTCCAACATAATTCCTATTATTATGGAAATTGATTTAACAATTTAACTTCTATTTAATAGAAGTAATACATACTTTTCTTTCATCAAATTAATAATATTTCTCCACATATCAGATTCATTCGACATTAGTTTTTCATTTCCGAGTAGAAACATTCCGTGCTTAGCACGTGAAAGGAGAACATTGATCCGATTTTGTGATCGTAAAAATCCAATAGTCGTACGATTATGAAATGTCACATTTCGTACCAAAGAAATTATCACAATTATTGCTAATATTTATAAAAAGAATTTTTAATTAAGAATTACCATCAATAAATAAACGAGAACTTACTGACCTTCCTCTCCCTGAAAATCATCAACCGTCTTTACTTTAACTTTAAAATTAGATGATGCAAATTTTTTATTATTATGAGCAAATAAATTAGCATAGCAAACATGTGAAAAAAATTAAAGAATCTTCATATGCTGATGAAAAATAATGTTACATACTATTTATAAATTGACCCTTTAAAGCATCCTTAATTTTATTAAGTTGGTCTATAAGCAACAAATAAAAATTAATAATCGTCACATAAAAATTAATAATCTATAAAATTATAAAATTTTGATATTAAACTTACTAAGATATGGTGTTAAAACTGCAATGTCATTAGGCTGGTCATAGCCCTAAATTGAAAGCCAATAAAGTTTATTATATCATTCAAATTATTCAATTAATTAATTAGAAAAATTCAAATTGTGAACCTTACATTGCGGACAAGATGACGTACGAGTGCGACCAAAAATTCTACCTCAAATTCATTTGATTCAACCTCTTCTGGATTTCTATGATCAAAGAAAAATAGATTATGTTGTACACCTCGAACCTTAGGGTATTTGGTTGTATTTATTTCATCTGTAAGTGCAGGATAAATAGGTCTTATTAAATCAGCAATTTCTGGTCTCATTCTTCGCTGTTCGGTAATTTGGGAAGGGACCATCCCTTCATCTATTAAAATATGTGATTAATGTAAGGAGGTTATAATTCAAGACAAATATAAAATGTGGTTTATTTTAATGCATAGTAATAATAAACAAACTTATTAAACGTTCGAACAAGGATCTGTCAAGTTTAAAAGCTTTTCCGATTTGTGAGTCCATGGATAAAATTTTTGTTGAAATATGTGGACGTAATTGGCGATGGTCACCAATGAGGATGATATGCTGCATAGATGGACATAAAGAACTTATTACATGTGCCTCTAAAATTTCTCCCGCTTCTTCAACAAGTATAACCTAATTACAATAGATGCTTGAATAAACAAAATCATTAAAAGTTTCTGTTTTATTAAAATTTAGTTTACCTGAGGGGCAACACCGAGGATCAAAGATCGATATTTAGCAACGCCACTAGTAGTTGCACCAAGTATTTGAACATTTATCGGGTCCTCTGGTTTCTCTAAATTTTTTATCCTTTCGGATTTGCTTCGAGATCCTAATCGAATAATGCTTGTAATATTTTTATCGATTAAATTCTCAAGGAACTGATCCAATGCATGATTTGTAAAAGACATTACAAGAATTGGGAAAATTGATGCATTTAACAGAACTCTTATGATTTCAACTCCGACATGTGTTTTCCCTACATTAGGAGACAATTAAGAATAGATAACTTTTCATAATTCACAATTAAAATGCAGAAATGCTTACCGGTTCCAGGTGGACCTTATCGCGGCATGCCAGAATAAATAAAACAGCATTAAGTATGAAGTGTATGTGCTGAATTCAATCACAGTATATTAACCGTGTTACCTTGAATCAGAGAGAATTCACTACATAAAGCATTTACCAGAGCATATGCTTGAGGTCTGCTCAAAGTACTGACATTTTGTGTTGATAATTTTTTTATTGCATTTTCCTGCGAGTAAAGACATTGTACATCCAAGAATAGAGAATCACCAGGGTTTTTTAATAAAATCGAAAGATCAAACTTAAATTCTGAAGTACGTGTGTACGTAGGAGTAGCGACCTGAGTTGCCGAAGGTGACATTATATATTGTTCAAACGGTACACGATAAGGGTACATTTCCTGCAATGTCATTAATATGTGCTTATAAGCTCCGAAATAGACACTTGGTGTCTCAACCATGAAACGTCTTGGGCGATCAGGATATTCCATTCCTTTTTCAATATCATCACAAGCAATCTGATAAATAGAGTGATCAACAAAGCAAATATTAACTATCGCTTCTTCATTGTTTAATGAGCTTTCATTAGATTTAGTAACCTCTCCAAAATAAAGTTCATATTTTAGACAATCACGTTTCCAAATGACGCAAATTAAACTTCCGCGCTTTAATTCTTTATACTTGAAATCTTGTTTATTAGATTTTTCTGAATTCATCTTTGGAGGTTTAAAGGCAACCTCACAAAAAATATTATTATCACAACTCGCGCAACTCACGAAACGAAGATTTGTGTATACATTAAGGCTACTGTCTATGTCTTCCTTTTCGTGACGAAATATACCGCTTTGGACCTGAGTTTCGTTTTTATTAATATAGGCCAAAAAATGATTAATTCCTGCACGAATCGGGCTTATCATATCTTCCCTTAAGAGTCTAAAGTGAGTATCGAGAAAGCGGGCAGTACAATCAGAAAGAAAATGATGTGCATTTTTCGAGATTATAGGTAACGAAGGTTGACGTAGAGATAAGATCTCGTCCTTTGTTGGAATAATTGAAATTTTTCTTATATCAGATTTATCATTGTTATGTCTTGGTCCATATCTTGATTTTTCACCTAATGATTTATTTTTTTTTATAATTAGTGATACTAAATTATAAATAACTTTTCTTAATAAAATTTACCTGGAGGATCATAAGAAATTTGGAACTTATATAAGCCAAACAATGACGCTTTATTATCAGAATTTCTCCTTTCAACCATAATAGAATGTTAACTAAATTGATTGTTCATACAACGTTAATTGAATCTCTATTACTCTATTTAATACAAGTTCGTTAAATGTATACGAGCTTATAAATAAAAACAATTAATGCATAAATTCTATTGAATATTTATGTACAGTACGTACGTACGTGCATATACCGTTCTTCAAATTTCCTTATTTGTATGATCAACATAAATTAACCTTAAAATTTTTACGAGGCAAAGGAAAACAAAAAAATCAGAAAATATAAGAAACGAGTGTTAAAACCTCTCTTAGAGTATTAAAAAAATGTCGGGTGAGCAATTTTATCTATAGCCTTGTCCAATTCCTGAACTCTGAACAACCCTAACCCTAATTTTTAATTGTTTTATTTTAATCCCATAAGGAGGTCGGCTAAAGCCTTTTGGGATGACTCTACTATAAAATCACGACATTCGACGTATTCAACATCCAGAAACCTAATTACAGTATCACTTCGCGTGTTACCGGAGTTCCAATATTCAAGCTCCGCTTTTGATTAATAATATATTACTAATCAAAACGGAGTTTGAATATCGGAACTCCGGTATCACTCGAACGTGATAATAGAATCGTCCCACAAGGCTTTAGCGCATCTCAGGTTTTTTTTGTGGGTGGCGCAGAATTACGTTGCTACAAGGCTTTAGCGCCTCCCCAAATAAGGAATTTAAAAATGGATCAGTAGCAATTACTATTTGCGGATGTTGATTTTACATCGCATTACGTAGTACCATTTGAGCATTGTATGCTGATCATCAGATGCTATCTTGAATCTGATAATGCCAAATTCGTGACTTCATCACTAACCCTGACCCTGTGTCGTATTCGCGTCCCTGCTTAGCCATCTTTTGTATATATGTGCTGTATGTCAACTCGAAGTCATATCGATATCACAGAATCAAGTCCTAATCGTGTTTTATATTCACATGGATATACACTCTCGATATCACAGAATCAAGTCCTAATCGTGTTTTATATTCACATGGATATATACTCTCCGTCTGCGCTAATTTTGTTTGTGCCCTAAAATTTAAAGGATATTTCCCGATCGGTTGTGGTTAGATTTTTATTTGACAGATATATCGGATATCGAGATCAGTATAAATAAATATGCATAGTGGGAGTGTGCATTGTAGAAGTGTGAAAATGCTCTGCTCTAAATAACACAAAATGCACTCTAATCCAACCCTAATAATTACAAGGCTGCGATTGTGGCATAGAAAGACTTTGTCCGAGTAATCAAGGTGTTAGATTAAAGCTCTGGATTACATCACGGCTCCCTTAATATAAGTGATTTGGGCACTAATTCCTACCGTTATCGGGGAAATTAGTAAAGCAAAACACTCCATAATGTCGAACTCTAAATGGCTTCGCCGCCCGGTTGAAATTTTAGTGTTAGAGTAAATAAATAATTAAATAAGGACTCAGGTTATTTTTTTCAACAAACATATAATATTACCAACCTAGAAATTTTTAGCGCAGTATAACCTCGATATAACAAAACTTGATAAACCAAGTCAGTCACTATAACAAAAACTTTTTCTAACTAAAATTATGGATTTATTATAATAAAGTATCCTAATGATGCATACCACGATATGTTGAAGCTCTGGAGCCGGAGTGTTTGGTTTGATATATTGAGGTTTCGATATATTGAGGTGGGCAGTCAACTACGTTAATCAATATTTTAAAAAGCAGACCCGAATTATATTGAACAGAAGAGTGTAGATTGTATTAATTTTGCTTCACAAGTTTTATATACTGGTGGAATTCCCAAGGATAATATTTGGAAGCCTTACTCATGCATGGGTTAATGTTGATAAATTTTATGACTATCTCATCAGTCACAAATTGGCAAAAAAATGTCAGCTGACTGAATTGCGCCCGGTGATTTTATACAGTATCGCAATCCAAATGCTAATAAAGAAGATTTTCATCACACAGTTATTGTTGTAAAAGGAGGTCAAAATCCTCCCATAATGAAAATTCATGTAATAAATCACATAGTTATTTTAAAGGTAAAGATTATTTTAGAGGTCTTTACATTATGGAATGTACCGGCTATTCAATGTTAATATTCTGATAATAGTTGTAATGTATATTCAAATTCGTTTTTAATGTTATTTTTCTTGCAAAAAGGCAAAATATAATAAAATTAATTATATGTCATTTTAATACCTGTAGTTGTTACTGAACGTCCTGATAGTGACGCAGTTAACCGATGTTCTACAATGTACACTATCCATTATGTAATTTAACGTTCAAGATTCTTTCACTCCAATATACTTGCTAATAGATACAAAAAATGATAAATTTAACGACAATAAATAATTACCGTTGTCAGACATTTCATATGATCATGTGAATTTTTTTGCCATGATATTTTTTGCATGAAATTACGTAATCAGTTTTGCAAAATA